GGGCATGCTACAAAGCCAAATACAGTTACACAGGGAAATGTATGATTACACCAAGTGAGTGCTGTATTTTCAGCTAAATGTTTCTGCATCTATACTCAACAACAGTGAAATGAACCAACTACCCCCAAAGTAATCAGTCACCATCAGCACTTTCACTCTGGATTTTTATATGGAATGAGCTACATACTTGTTTTTTCAAACCCAGATGCCTGAAGTTACATCCCTCAGTCCACAGGTTTTATTTGCAGAGGTATTAAACTCCTACTAGTCTCATTGACATTTCTGTTAACATAGAGAATAATGCAGACTTTTCATAGGAATTAGGTAGGAACGTATGGGAAAAACATCCCAGGGTATATATTATTGCTGGCACTGGCAATTAAACATGAAATACTGCAAAACTGTCACATCAGAAATATTCATTATGATAGTATTCTTTAAAGAGATGGAAGGGATGATTAGGAAGTGGACATAAAAAATGAATAAACAATTCTAAAATAATTTGTGAGCTCCTTATGCCTAGTCTGGACCATTTTATGCTCAGTTAAAAGACAACAAAACAAAGAGGATCTAACTGCTCCACTTTGAATAAGGATGTCTTCTTTTACAGAGGGCGACACCATTTGTAAGGTACTTCCTCACATCCTTGCGTGGAGATGGGGCCACAGCATGCAGGGACAGACTGTTTCTGAGGCAGCACAGTGACTTAGCATGGAGGGGCTTTCATAATTAGTAAGAACATATAAGGTGATTTAAAGATTTGAAGATTTTTTCCATCTAGAATGTGCTGCCTAGAAGTGAAGGATGGCATGTCACTGACAAATATAGTTTTTCATAAAGCCAACATGTAATCAGTTTGATAGTTGACACTATTTCAATATATTGTATTTCATGTGCTTTATTGCTCTTCTCCTTTGCAACAAATCTCAAAGAAACAAGGTTTGCACGACAGCTAAGGGAACAGCTTGGGGATAGTAGGGCTCAAGAGACACTCCGGAAGAATGAGATGGTCTGATTTCTTGGCAAGACAGCTTAGGCATGTCACTGTGGTAGAGAAGGGGGCGCTTGCATGTAACATGCAAGTTTGGGGCAAGCAAATACACCCACATAGAGCTGGTAGGCCAGTGGCAGTCCTCTTTTTACCTGTCCTCTTTATTGCTATCAGAAGTACAGTACTCCCAGAAAGTTTAAACTCTTCTTTAGGTGGCCTCTGTTGAGTCTGTAACTACCTGTACATTCGCTGGCTGTTTTCTTGTAAGCTGTTCTCCCCATTTTTGCACAGCTTCGTATTTTCAGTCTCAGTACAGTCTCTATTGTTTAACTGAAATCAACTTCCTCTAAAACCTGTAATTTCCTTTTTTAAATATTTACAAACTCATTCGGTAAGTGTGATGTATTTTTCAGCTTAACATGGTATCATCACATTCTAATTTAAAGCTGAAAAGAGCTATAAAACCCATAAAGAACACACTGCTATGATATGAATATTTAATAATAATGATCTACAAAAATGGACTTCACTATTGAACTATTTAAATGGATCTCCTGAACATGTAAGAAAATATTAGATTTGATGTTCCACTTAGTGATGTATTACTTGGAGATACATACACAAGACTTCTAGCTGAGTAGCTTAGAATTGCCATCTTCTTGCATTTTGCTGGCATATTTTTACCTTTACCATGATTAAACATGTTATCTCGCTGTCTCACAGTATTACTAGAACATAAGAACTCTGGAAACACACCAACTCACATTTGCTGAGATATTGTTGAAAGCTAATGTACAGGCTAAGCAGAAATATATGCAACATTATCTAAACATAAGCCATTAGTCCGATAAGAAACAATCAGGTCCTTTGGAAGCACCAGGCTTCAACTCTGGTATGTGTGGGATCACAGAATACTGGATCCTCCTCATTGTAGCTCGTTAGCTCAAGTTCACAAGTGCTAGGGCACCTGCAGCTTTCAGCATCAGGCAGGGGCTAAGTATCAGGATTAAATGAGCACTCGGTCAAATAGGCTATTAATAATACACAGACATATGTCACGTACTTCATCATCACAGTGCTCTCTTATTTGTTCTGCAGTAACAGGTAACCAAGTCATCATACTGGATCACACTAAAGGCTCATTTCATGCAGACTCAGTTTTCAAAGGCTGTTATGCTATCACTGGGCAAGTGTCATTAACATCAAAATTAGTAATAAGCTAAAACCCCATCAAAGATCAGGGCCCACTGACAAAACAAGTGTCAAAAGAGAGCTCTTGTCCTGAGGAACTTTAAATAAAAAAGTCCACCTATACTTGAAAGTAAATGAAACTGTTAGAAAGCGCCTGTACATCACAAGCAAGAAAGCCCAATGCTCCATAGTAAGTGTAGGATGTATTATTACACTTTACATTGGCCCTAAGTATGCATAGGTCACTGTTTACTGTTCTGTCTGTGTTGTCCCTGTTGATCAGGACAGCTGGAGTCAGAGCTCACTAGAAAGAGGAAAACTAGCAAAATTATGTTTATGGGGAGTGACAGAAGTTAACCTAAAAACTTCGAAGTTCATAGCTACTTTTCATTGTTAGATTTGTGTTGTTTCTTGGTCAGAACACAAACAAGTACTTTGGCTTTTCTGTACCTCAAATTCCTTGCAACTCATGGGGAGCATTCATAGTTCTGCTTGCCTAAAACATCACAGTGCCCACCCTAGGCACTCAGCTTTTTGCTATCGATTCTCCAGCACGTGAAGTCTGAACATAATTGTTAGCTTGATGCTGGAATTCTTAATCTGTGAAGAAAATGTATCCCCTTGAGCTGAGCAGGATACCCATGACTTTTCAGTATGTGTCTCTCACCTTACTGAGTGCTATATACCGGTTTGGGGTTTGGTTTTTTTTTGGTTGGTTGGTTAGTGGGGTGCTGTGGGTTTTTTTGAACTATCTCAACTAGGACATGCATTTTAGTAGAAAGCCCTACCCAATGGGCAACTTCCTTGTATTCCAAAAGGCTTTTCTAAATTCAGGAGTGGCCTGTTTTATTCTGATAACAGAAAAAAACCTCTATCATCTTCATATTACTATAGAAGGTAAAGATTGCTACTATTAATGAAACAAAATATTTAAAAATCTGTTGGAATACTAATTGTACTGAGTACCTTCTGATAAAATATCTTTCTGCTCCTCTGCTGTCTGTGAATATATTTCATAATATTTTGACCTACATTTTGTATCTTGCCCTAGCCAAAAAACAACTTTCCAACACAGCTATAGCTGAGCATATCCATAATTTAAGGACAAAGTGTATAAGTATTCCTAATTACCTCCAAAGCAAGTTTGATGAACCTGTGAAAATTAAGGAAAAAAACCCCCCAAAACAGACATATTGCAGCAGGAAAATAAGTCACCAGTGACCATAACACTACTTTTTAGTGTTATCAAACAATAAAATATAGAATGTTCAGACTAGATCTTGTTAATGTTTCCAGGCCCAGATTAGAATAAATCTAATGTAAAGATTTTCTTTTTGCTTCTGGTGCTTCTTAATTTCTCTGGAGGAGTTTGCTTTTCAATAAAATTGAAAATTTTATTGTTAAATATTTGAGTTAAATAATGTAAAAGTAGGATGCTTTTTTTTTTAAAAAAAAGCTTGAAGGCAAAAAGCTTTCAAACAAAAAATTCCTTCTTGCTGCAAATTTCTCCAGATTGCTTTCAGTATTTCCTGAAAGAGGCATTGCTGAGACAAATCATTTGCAGAAACATGTTGACTACTTCCGTTTAATTTAATATAAGGGAGAAGAAATTTGAATAGCAAAACCTGTTTCTACAATAAAAGGGTTAGCATCCCATTCAGATTGTCTGGAGATGGATTTAGATACTCGGTGCTTATTATGATCCGTTAAACAGCAGTAGCTCATTCAGTACACTATGCTATGCCTTGGATGCACTGACCTCGCATATTGTTCAAAGACTGCATACAAAATGGCCTTCCATGAAAAACTGAAATGATACATTCAAAACACTGCAGAGCAGTGAAATACACCTTTAGAAAAAAACCCAGAAGAACATTGCATAATGAATACACTAATACTTTAAAAAGACCTACTCTATTACTAGTACCAAGGCTAAGATTTGCCTGTGAGTTTATTACCTCAATGCATTTGGGAGACAGCCATCTAGCAAGTTTTTCCTGCATCTAGTTGGCATTATTACTTGAAATTACTCTATGGGTGTTCCCCCATGGCATCTCAGAACAAACTGCTTAGGATCACCAAGGCGATTGCGCTGTCTCTGCACTTCACTGAGCTGGTAAATAACTAAAGCTAATTTCATATACCAGCAACACACAGCACCAATCTTGAATTTCACCAGCTACATGGAAACCGCATTTGGTCCTCCAGCTATTTTAAATCAAATCAGTTATGAATGACAACTACTGGAAATTAAATCCAGCTAAATTCCAGCAACACCACAAAAAAAGGCATTTTATTAAGTTTAGGGTTGTGATAACCTGTTTGCACCACTGTGGTCACATAGGGGAGAAGAAACATAAAAGCCAGTATTAACTATGTGAAAGACTTACAGTAAGCTAGTTCTATGGGCCTAATTCCACTTACATGGGGATATGTAAGGGGTGACTCGGCAAAGGCTCGGAGATGACACATCAGATTTTACCAGTGCAAAAGCTGGTCTGGAAGAGAATGAAGAATATGCCAGCAAGAACTAGGTAGCCTATTGCATGCTGTTTGAATGCCTTTTTAACAGGCATGACTGCACAACAGTTCTGACAACAGCTTCAGAAAAGCAACTCAAAGATACAAAAATAATGCATGCATCTTACAACCTCAAGTAAGAAGTCCTGATAATGACCATAGCACTGTTTGCTGTTACAACAGACTTTTGACTAGATAATATCTGCAAATTGAACCCTTCAAGCTGTAAACAACAGTAAAATGTTTGCAAAGATCAAGGGAAGCAAGCATCACTGATAGCCCTCTGCCTTGCTTACAGATGAACTCCTGAAAGAAACACCTTTCCCACTGAATTCCACTTCTGTTATGGAGCCATTTACCTTCCAAAGCTGGTTAAATGATCATCGTGGTGAAATAAGACAGAAGAAATCCTTGAGTATGTTTGGAGATAACTTTGAAACAGAGGTAGGGATGTCTAATTTCTCTGAAAGAGAGGGATATTTTTAAAGGTACAGATAATAGCTGCCTACTGTTCAGACTGAGTGAATCCAGGCCTGGGAAAATTAGGTAGTCAGCAGAGAAAGTTCTGCACCCCTACTGAACAACTCAGCCTTAGCCTGCCCTGCCCTTTGGAAGTGCCTGTCTTCGTCCATTGATTTGAGTAGCTTAGGGCAGGGGCTTCCTAGCTCAGATACTTCCATTCACGGAATCAACCTGAACCTTATTTCCATTCATTTCCTTTGGGATTAAACCAGCTCTCTCACACCACCCCCCACCTCCCCATATTTCCCAGAGCAGAAACACCAGCGTGACTACTCACAAGTGTGTTTGGCTTCCCTATATGTTTGAACAGCATTCTTGGTGCCAAGTCTAATCTGGGTGTGTAAATACACGTTTTTTTTCCTCCCCCTCAATCTACATAAAGTGGAAACAAGGAAAACTGGACAGCACTAGAGAGCCTGGGCTGTGCTAAAGCATTTCACTTCTCAGTTTAGTCAAACACAGTCTAGTTTGGGTGTAAATGAAGCTGTCACCATTTGATATCTGTGCTGTATGCACGATAGTTTACAAAACATATTCTTTCCCTGGGCTACTTGGAGTCACACTCTGAAGAATCGAATACATTTGACAACAGAGTGACAGAGAGCATGGGACTGTCAGGAAGAACACAAAAAGGGCAGATGAGGAGAAAAATAAGGTCCAGTCTGCAGCTTTTTTTAACGTTAATGGAAGAACCTTTATAATTCAACAGGCTCTTGGCGGGGCCCAGAGTTCATGAGGAGGAAGTGCCTGTTCCAAGAACAGACGCAGGAAGGATATAGATGCAAAGCTGAGAGTGGGAGGAGGCAGAAGGAATAGATAAGTGAGGATGCAGAGGAGCATAAGGAGTGGCAGGTGTGATCAGTTCCCTTTTTATCAGTAGGAATCAATATGAGAATACCAAACATAATGTGAATTTTAATGTCTGTAAAAATAACATCATCTTCTATGAACATTTTTCTGTAAAAATAGAATTTTTAAATGCTGTAGAAAGATGAATATGTACACTTTCATCACTGGGATGAATCCATTACTTTTCTTCCCTGGTTTTTTTGTTTGTTTGGGTTTTTTTTAAAGGTTATAGCTTACGGACCAGGAACAACTGAGAAAAGTAAAAAGAATTCAGATATCTGGATTTGGCAGCTGGTACGTGATAATTCACACTTGTTAACCGATGAGTTCATATTTCAGTTCAGAGGAGACTGAACAGTAGTAAAGCCTTCAGCAACAGAAGTTAAAATGATTACCTTCCTTCTCACAGAAAAGATCATCAAAACGCACCACCCTTCAGCTTTAAACTACAATGAAAAATAACTGTAAACTACTGTCACCATAAAAATAGTCTCTCTTTTTCCTCATCTTGTATGTTGAGGACAGAGATACTGGCATCCTCCATAAGGTCTCAGTGGGGATTTTAATATACTGTGCCTGGGGTATATACTGTAAATATATTAGAATGCCTCCAAGTGATAAAAAAAAGCATTACCTATTACTTCTGCCTTGAAGCATTTGTCCTCATACTGAAGTCAAACTAGAATCAGGTAGAATAAGCTAATAAAAAAAATGTAACTGAGAACTTGTTTATACTAAAGCACAGTGGTAAGTGATCCAGATGTCCTTCATTCAACTGAATTCTAGGAAACATTTGCAGCCCAAGGGAAAAACAGAGAAAAGCGAGTTTTCGTTTACACAAGTCAGGCTAGCTTGGGAGGCAGATACTTCTATCAGTTCCTGTTCTGTTGAAATTCACTGGGACTGTCAAATACTAATTAAAGACATAATATTCCTAAAAGACATTTGTTTACACTGCAGCTTACAACAGCCTATGCAATCAAGACCTTGTTGCTGGCAAGAACCTGGGTCCTCTGCTTGACAAGATAATGATGAGTCCATTCCAGTGTGGATGGACTCCTATTAGCAATTTCTGTTAGCTCCCTGCTGACTTGTGAACTGCTTTTCAAGACTTAAAAAGATATTAAGAATCAGAAAAGTAGCAAAGGAGGTTGAAGTATTCCAGGACATTATCTCTGTAATTTCCAGAGCTGTACCAATGCAGGCTGCTAGGTTAGATTTGTAGCAGTGTACCCCCCAAGAGTCAGGCAGTGGGGAACAATGAACCATGAAGCATGGTTTTGGGGATGCTAATAGTGTTGGACAGGGAAGACCAGCTGAATATTTAGCTAGGCTTCATGAAACAGAGCAGGTTTGAAGTGCTCTTTCAGTGGGAAAGATTTCCATACTTACTTGCAGCATTTTTTCTGCTAGTTGACAGGACATGGAAAACTCAAAGCTGGTTATCTGTTCTTTCCTTTAGGAGGGCACATCGACTGTTACCGTGGATGGTAAAACCCTGACTCTATCCGCTGGTGACAGCCTGCTTGTCCAGGCCCAGTCTACGTGAGTAGACATGAACAGTGGTTCAATGCATGATTTCCCAGCTTCCAACATAAATTCTGTGTATTTGGCTCACCCCAGGCTGGACATCAGCTGGTGCAGAAACACAGCATCTATGAATGCAGGATTTGCAATAGCCCCCATTATTCCTGAGGGCAGAAGTGTCTTCAGGAGGAAGCAACAAATCCATTCATTCCAGTTCACCTCTTATGATTAAAGCTGGGGAAAATAAAAAAGATAAGCACTATCAAGAAAAAGCAGCGTGCAAGAGACCATGCATAAAGGTAGAAGGCATGAATACACCAATGGGCAGTCACAGCAGATCCTCTAAGCCTCAGTCCAGGCTTAATAAAGATCAACGCAGCAAGATTTGGGGTTCAGACTAAGAACACAGCTCTCTTTCTGAAGTAGGATGCATATGGCTGTTTCATAGTCATGACACACATGATATATGTAAAGGAAAAAAAACAGTGAAAATAGTTTCCAGAGAGAACAGAAAGGGAAAGTACTTGCCAACTCTTGTGAAGAGTGGCATAAGCTGATAAAATGCCCACTGTGAAGAAGATGAAGGATGATGTATACTCACTGGTAATGCAATGCAGCAGATTATAGGCAGATGATAAAAAAGGCCTTCTTTCCTACAGGAAAAGTCTAATAAGTAGTAGTGCTGACATTTGCACATTTTGTACAGCACTGAAAACATTTGCTGAAAGAGCTGAAACCATCCAGCTGTGCACAGAACAGTTCTCTACACCTGTGATTCCAACACATAGCCACCTCCTCCCTTCACCATTACTTCCACCACTTCTATGAAATCACTTAATCTTAAATCAATTCCCAGTCCTGCAGTCCAATCAATGAGCATGTGTTTTCAAGATCACAGCATGATGCATGTGCAGAGATCTGCCAGCACAGTTCATATTGCATTGTCATTTATCAGATCTGTACAGCAGGCACCTTTTATTGTATGCATCACTGTTGCACACTGATTGATCTCTGGCCATCTCTGCAACTGGGAAAGAAACAGCTAATAAAAGTGATGACCACAAGAAAAATACTATTAAATTAATAGATACTAATTTTGTTAAATTAATATGTGTACTGAGGTGATTCTGTTCCAGTCCTCATGTCACTGAGATCAGAACAGATGCCTTCCCCCTTGGTTGATCCATAAGTAGATATACATGCTTCCTCACCATTTCATGATGTTTGGCTTGTATTAGTGATATTTCAGGAATTACTCTTCGCCATCACAAGATATACCAATATGGAGAGAGAACAAGTGTAATCATGACAGAACCTGTATGTTTTCCCCTACTTTTCAGTAGCATCAATGTTTTAGTTGTTGATTTGAGTGTGTGGTTCCCCCCCATACACATTTGGTCATCTCTCTTTCTATTTTTCCAGGCACTGCTGGAAGAGAACAGAAGAATGTGTTGCTCTCTGCATTGCTCAGGATCCAAAACGCAAGCAGCCTTATACCTAGCTCCTGTGCCAGTTGACTTTGATGATAACTAAGTTTTAACCTACTTCTCTTATCTAAATGATCTTTTAGTGAGAATGCCTGGAAATATGAATAGTCTAACACTTAATTCAGTGTAATCATTGTGGAGTCAAGTGCTGTGCACAGTTAAAACTTTTCCCCCCAAGTAGTTAGTTTCAGCAAAATCTACAATCAATAATTTTTTTAAAAAACAAACAGAACAATCATTCTTATCTGAAAGGAAATGAAAACAGATCCAAGTAGCAGGATTACTTATATAATAATATATATGATACTACCTAGAGTAAGTTAAAGGCTTTTTAAAGGCAAGTCTCTGCCACAACATGTAGAAAAGGAGATAGGACAGAAACTGTCATGCCTACTGAGGTAAGAGTCTTCATTTTTTTTGTTTCAGTTTTGTCATTTGTAATAAATTGGGTATAATGTTAGTTACCCAGCCCACAGTAGAGGAGCTTTAACTGGCAGTAGCTCACAGGTGTTGAGATATTTGGCTAAAAGGCCCTTTAAAAAACAAAACAATCTGCTGCACTCCTTGAGGATCTCAGTGCTTTGTGAAAGAGAGGAAGGTGCATTAGTAAAGGGGGAAGCAGCACCCGCAACAGCATCAAGCATTACTTAGATCACCACTGTACTTGCTTCAGGTAACTTACTATCAGTTTACCAAATCCAGCAAAGCAGTATCAATCACAGTTATCAGTAACATGCCACACATACCATGCTGAATGCTGTCTATACAATATACTATCAACAACACAGCACTGCAATATGACTGAACACAGGAGCATCGAGGTCATGGGTGTTCCTGTGCAGCAGAAATCTCAAGTCAAAGTAGCCTAAGAAGTGTGTTGTGGAACAAGGGAGCAGAAAAATTATTATAATTAGTTTCTACTAAGAGCTGCTTCTTTTTGAACAATGAGGTTTCTTGCAGAAATAACAAGTGTCAAATTATCTTTCACTGCTTTTATTCCAAGAACTCTCCAGAGGGGGTTTTGTTTGGTTTGGGTTTTTTTTAATTGTCCTACACATAATTAACATCAGAAAATAGGTTGCTTAAATGTCTGCAGGTATTATCAATTACACATTTGAAAAAGCAAAAAGTTACCATTTGTTGATTTTTTTTTTTGTAATTCTAATTAAGTTCAGAAAATATTTCTTTACAATATCTATCACCTACAAAGCTCATTAAACTGAGATGTCATATGTGTTTTATTCAAGTGTTCATTCTTCTGATGAGAAAGACTCAGGTGGCTTACCTTTAATCTATAACTTAAATACAAGTTCACTGGCTTTTCTAGTAAAGCATAGAGCAGAACTTTGCTACATCCTCCTTATAACAGGGAACGTAATTTAAGAAATTGAGCCTAGTCCTGAAGGCTATTATGAGTGTGAGCTATCACACATGAAAAGAAGCTATAACACTCCTTTTGAACAAGGGAGTCATTTATCTGATTACCATTGGTATTGTGTTTGTAGGACTACCTACTCCTTGAGTGAGTGTCTATGGTTGAGGAATCTAGAGTACCAAAGCGTTATATTTTTAGTCCACCAGTTAGAGGGTTACCACAGAAATATTTCTATATTTCACACTGAATAAGTGAATAAAACACAGCAACATGTAGAACAGTGTCCAGAATAATCAACAGCTCTTCATCCATCTAGAGACACTAGCACCATGGAAATTTCAGAATAAAAATTAAGGCTCCTCTAGATTAGATACCTCCCAGGATTTAAAATCAAGGCTCCACTCAAACTATATTTTTGATGAAGTCCTTCTATGATAACTTGTGTTTGAACAGCTGAATTCTACCCAGGTCCCATGCTAGGTGCCTCAAATCAGAGAGAGAACCAGACTAGGAACATTAAGTCAGATTCATCACCCACAGTTCTGCCACTGCCTGTGATCAGAAACCAGGGCTGAGCAGGTCATCAATTAACTTCTGAGGAAGAGTTGCTGTCATCTAAAAACTAGGTAAGAAGTGTCCAGTCCCATTAGTATGCCTAAGAATCAGGATCAAACCAGCATGAGAAGATTTATAAACAGGCTTAGATACCAAGTACTGGGAGAAGAGAATTTTATGTTCTTGTGTCTCTTTTGAGAATTCCTTCAGTTGTTTCTCCTTGCCTGCCTTCCCCCCCGCACCATTCAGTAATTATTTGGTAGTCAGAGCACAAATGAAAGCACGGAGAACTTCTCATTTACTCCTTTTAAGGTGCTTAACCACTTATTTAGAAACCTGCAACTTCTCTTTTTCCAAGTCTTCAAATAGTTCCAGGGGTCCTGATTAGTCAGTGAATCTTTTTCAGGTGCTTTATTCTTCCTCCATATTATATATATTGTAAATTGCCCCAACAATTGTACATTTATAATTAGATGCACCCATGCTTATGAGGAAGTTGGCCAGATGCAAGTTTGGTTCCTAGAGTCCTTTTAGGCTGTTAGGCACTGTTTTTGTGTATGTGTGGTCAGCTCAGTAGATACTTTGGCACCAGAGTCATTGGGATCAGTCTGGGGACTCAATGCTAATGTTGCCTCAAAGAAGGATTTCAGGCTTAGGTCAGTGGCAAAGGCTTAGTTAGGCATGTTGTCTGCAAAGTGCCCTAATGCACTTTTGTCGACAATGTGCTTGTTCATACATGTCCATGACAACACACCAGCACAAAACTACGTGACTGTTTTTTCTTTACAGCTCTTTCTACACAAGATGCACCTGCACCCTGATTTGGGCACGCATTTTCTATCTGAATCGTACAGATACTGTGTCACCTCATACTTAATAAACTTACTACATTTTGGCAGGATCATGCTAACCTCATGAGTACAGTATTGCATAGACAGTCCATCTGTTGCTCACTGTTTCTCCCAGACTCAAAAGCAAAATATTATACAAATATATATTCTAAGCAGTATTACAATAAAGCCTACACAGACCAGAAGCCATACCTGCACCATGCTTTATAAATTAATTATTACCTTAAACATATGCAGGATTGTCCTGAATCACAAGCTGGAGAGGACTTGAAAGCTTAGAAACATACACAAAGGAGTTTGAGTCTACCTACAAGCATCCACAGAGAGTTATTCCAAGCCCAGATCTCACCTATCCTGGAAGTCAGCAGGAGCTTTCCCCTTCAATTCAAATGGGAAAAGGTGATGCAGCCCAATCCTGCCAGTTGTTGAGTAAAGTATCAAGAGGCTGTGGTTGTTCAGTGCCTTTAAAATGTTTAATCCCAATGAGAAAAATGATAAGTTTTGTAAAAGAGAAAGACAAAACACTCCTTTTTAGCTATTGGTATATTTTGATTTCTATTATTATAGCACTTAAATGGTATAATGAGCGATATAAGCATTATTATAGTACTTCAAATTGAACAAGTAACTTATGTCTTACAGTCAGTCTTTCAGTTCATGTAAATTAGCAATATAGATTAAAAATATTTAAAGTAGTTAGTGTCTCCTATTGCTACTAGGCTAGACAGGTCTGACCTGATAGGGTACTTATGTTCTTATTTTGAGCTATGCTGACTTCCATGAATTATGAAAATAAAATTATAGTATTTAACTATATGCCTCCTTATTAAGTGTTGAAATATGAGACAATAACAAAAATATGTTGATTAGCAAGGTTACATTATACATCAGCACCAATTCGAAACAACTAATATTGCCTGAAGTAACCACAATACTTAAGAAATAATCCTGGTACAGTAAATAAAGCTTAAGTCTTCACCAGCTGTTTCTATAACATTGAAGACAGGCCTACAAAAAGCAACTTTATGCAAAACACATATGTTTGTGGTTCTGAGAGAACTACAAGAGCAAACAACAACCCTCATGGATCATGTTGTAAACATATCAGAGATCAACAGCAGAGCCCAAGTTTGTCCAATTTTTTTTTTTTTTTTTTAATAGAACAGTTAAGGCAAGATAATGATCTAATGCTAACTACATTTCATCTTGCAATGCATAAATTGACAGCTTGTAAAAGTCAAGAGAGGAACTCTTCTTCCTCCATGCTTGCTTTATTTTTACATCTTGCCTGTTCCTTTGAAGTAACAAACACTACCGGAGGCAAAAAACTAGACTAAGTGGATCAGTAAACTGGTAAAATCAGGTGTGTTACAGTAAACTCTTTCCTCAAACCCACACAGCATTTACTCACACCTGTAAACCAATCTCATCTTGTTGCATGAAGATAATAAATGCTTTCACTCCATTGTTTTTAACATTAATTGTACTCTGACTTCAGCTCTCCAGCCACATTTATTTTATAGAACAGATGCACAGAAAGCAACCCTCCCACCATCATTGCATACAAGTAAAGGAAGAAAAATTACTTAAACTATTTAACAGATTCCTACAAAAACAGCTTGTGTTCATAATGCAGATATTTCAGGGCTTTGGGGTTTCTTTTTATTCATTTTATTTTCAGTTAATAATCCAGAGTGCACTTGAATGAACACTTCAGACTAATGAAGGTCATCACCTCCTTGTCTGACAATATACTTGTAGAGCTACACTTCAACATCAAAGCATGCAGAATAATAGCTGTTTGGACCCAAAGTAAAATTATTGATTTTAAGGTAATAATGAAGATGACAAAGTTAATACCTGCCCTGTAACTCAGAGGAAATATCTGACCTACAGGTCCCAGCACCATCTGGTACAGAAAGATCTTATGCTGTATCCAGTCAGCAATATTTTAAGTGATTGCCCAGAAAGCGTGGAAGTGCATGAAAACTCTCCCTTTTAACAATACTAGAATTTTGAGTGAAGCTTGAATGCTAGGGTAATATATACACACAAAGTCAGACAGTTTGTATTCAGCACCTTTCCAGAAACAAGCCCTGAAATGGCAAAGTCATTAGGCAAATCAATCCCAACGCACACATCAGACTCCCTGCTGCAAACAGCTCTCCTGTTTGGGGTCTACAATTCTACAAATTTAGAACACTTCTTTCTAAATTCCTGTTGCTCTAGGTTAAATACATCTCCAAGATCTTCGGCCCAGTAATTCATTAGAAGT